CCTCCTCGATCTATCCCCACAAGAGGCCCCCTGAGCACGTGCGTGTGGAGACCTCAGTCCTCCTGTGCAGGTTCTGTCCACTTTCCCAAAGCAACCATTTTTTGGCTACCTCTTGAGCCAAGGGGGGGTTCACAGGAAGGGAATACCAAGGAAGGAAGGTCACATAAGCACTTGGAGTGAGTTTAGGGGTCTTCAGGAAGGGAATTTGGGGGCATCAGGTACATGGGCCTGGTGCGGAAGGAAGAGGGCAGGGCAGGTGGACGCACCCTATCAGCCCCTTGACGCCTTACTCTGGGGCAGGGGGAAGGGCCCAATCTGAAGATTGCTGGACTGGGCTCCCCAGAATGCAGGGCCCCTGTTGCCTAGTCTAAGAACACATAGGAAGTACACCTGGAGGCTGAGCCACTTTGAACATCCATTAGAGGATGATTTTCCAGCATCCCACACAAGGCACATTCTTTTCCCACTGTTTGCCATCTTCTTGGCCTGTGGGCTGTTTCTCAAGAAGGTCATGCGGACAGGGCTTTACCTGGAGGCTCTAGTCTTGGGTGTATTTACACGGGGGATGTAAATTCAACAAACCAATCTCCACTGCACACACAAGGCACTCTCAGCAATTTCTAGCTTGTTTGCACCAACCTGAATGTAAACCCAAAATGCTCCCCGCTGCAGGCAATTACCGGAGGAGAAGCTGGGTTAGGCAGCTGAGGTTTGGGGGGTCAGGGTGAAAGCATGAATGCTTCCATCCCACATTTTTGAAAACAAGTCTCCATTGTATAGAACCTTAGGATATTCCCTTACTTGAATACAAAAAAAAAAAAAAAAAAAAAAGAAAGAAAGAAATGGTTTCCCCTAAAGCCCCTGCCGATGTGCTGAAGGGGACAGAAGGTTGTGGAGTCAGGGGGTCAAGCTCAGTTCCCAAGAACACGCCCCTCAGCAGCCCTGTGCTGTGCCCTGTGCTGTGGTCAGTGAACAAACAGACCGTGGTCCCTTGAGAACAGACAGACACGTGAGCAGCAACTCCTGGGCAGCACGGCAAAGGCTGAGTGTGCAGGACAGTGGTGCACACTGGGAACCCAGGACTCTGCTGGGCTGTGTGGCCCCGGGTGAGTTACACTCTCCTAAACGTGGATTCCTATGCCCAAGAGTGGTTTTCAGAAGACACTCTGCTGGGCTAGAGACAAGAGCTAGCCCTGGAGCCAACTTCAGTAGCTGCTGTCTTTCCCTTTGCTTGAATGCGCGCTCTTGAATTTACAAAGCACTTTCCCCCACCAGTGCCTGCCCTGCTGGTCCTTCTGCCTTTGACATGTGAGCGGAGATTTCCTTGAACCTTTTCCCTCCATTGCCTGTGAAACCTCCCAAGCTCTTGGTAACACATACGGTCTATATATTTTCTAAGGCTCCTTTGCCTCTGGTCCCTGTGTTCCCACGGAGTATTCTTAAAATGAGTTTGGCCCGAGGTAGACAGATGTCAGCCCTTTCTAGAATCCACAGGAGATCCCATCCCAGGGAACATCTTGGTGATATTGTGAGGCCCTCCCTGGAGATCTTAGAAATACCCCAGCAGGGTCATATCCATGCCCACCCCACACTCTGCTGTGCCCACCCTCCCACCCCTCCTGTGCAGGCACCCTGGCGAGTTCATTTTTCTCTTCTTCTCAGCAAAAGGCTGAGGCTCAGCAAAAGTGGTCCCGAGGCCCCAGAACTCCCCTTCTCTCCCAAGAAGCTCCTTGAGGCATTTCTCTGAGAAAGGCTGTTCTCTCTAACAGGAACACCTACTATTGGGCAAAGGCAATTTTCTCTCTCTTTACAGTTCATTTTCTGCTCATTAATAGCTTTGGGATTCGTATAATAGTTTCCACTTTATAGATGAGGAGATGGAGGCTCAGGCGTGAAGTGCCTGTGCCCAGGGTCACATGGCTAGTGAGTGCCAGAGTCTGGCTTCAAGCCGTGCTCTGGGCAGCACCACTGTACCCAGTGGCCTGCAGTGGCAGTCAGTCGCATGGGCTTGGGAAGAAGCAAGTGGCTTTCCTGTGTCAGCCTTCTCTCTAGGCAGGGGTGGCGGGAGGAGGAAGGGTTTCCTTATTGTGGGGCAGGCTCACAGCTTCCCTGGCCTTCTTTGAAAAAGTATCCCTGCCTGCTTCTTCCTTTAAGAGAATCAGAAAGGGGGTTATGTGCACACCCCAGAGGTGAGCCACAGGGAGAATAGACACAGGGCGGGAAGAAAGACCACTGGTCAGTTTAGCACGAAAGGCATTTAAGCCCCTGCAGCACCCTCTGGGGCAGGTCTCAGAGTCATTTCTGCCTTTCCGCATTTGACATTCTCACACAGGTCCTCCTTAGGTGTCCCCAGACTCCTGAGGATGGTGACAGACCTCGTGTTTATGTTCTTTCCCTGGTCTCAGCCTCTGAAGGTATGACGGTGCAGAGAAAACACAGAGGTTTGGGACTCACGTAGCTTCCCATCAGGGCTGTGCTCCCCACTCTGTGGCTGTAGGCCGATCGTTTCACCTCACACGGCTTTGGTTTCCTCTAGGTAGGGCAGGCCCAGGGATGCCTTCCTCACGGGGAGCTAGTGATACTTGCAGAACAGAGCACCATTCAACAGATGCCTACTGGGCCCTTTTTACTCTGTGCACTAGACGTCAGGTAGGGAGGCACAAGTTCTAAACTCCACTTGCCTGCTCGCTAGAACTCTAGACAAGTGCTCAGACCCTTCCGGGCTTCATTTTATCCATCTGTAAAGTGGGAGTGGCAGTCCCCTCCTCCTAGGGTCACAGGATGATTCAGGAGGTAGAACCCGACACTCATGACTGCAACTCTATCAATGGTATTTTGATTATATTATTTCATTGGGGCTTTAAGGCCGTACTGGAGCTCTCACAGTACATTTTAAGATGTCTAACAAAATGCGGCCGTAGCTTCGGGCTTCAAGGGTGTCACATCTTCCTGTTTTTGCTCTGCCACAGGGGAGGTAAGGGCCCCACAAGAGTGACTATCTTACGGGGTCTTGGCATCAGTTTGGAAGGTGCCCCCAGAAGAGGGGTGTTGATTGGGTCCCGAGTGGGAGCTCAGGGTGGCCTCCCTGCCAGAGAGCTCTGGCATCTGGACCTGTGGAGAAGCTGGAACTGGGCAGGGCTGGAGATGTCTGACCAGCAGCGACTGCTACCCCCAATCATAACCCCCACTAAAGGCACACAGGGGACAGCACTCCTCACCTTCTGTTCCCCGTGGTGGACTCAGCACAGTGGGCCTGCAGCACCAGCTGGTTCAGTGTCATCTTCTGAAAATCATCCATTTAATTTGGGCATGCTGGCTCTCCTTTCCACAAAGGACCTGTGTCCATGAATAATTGGGCTGCAAGAGTGACTGTGAATTCTTCAGTTGATCAGGAGCTGGGGTTGCTCACTGTCCCCAGCAGCCACGTGGACAGCTCTGGGCTGGCTCCCCAAACCCCCCCCCACCCCCCCGCCTGACATTGCTGTAAAGCATGTCCCTTGATCAGGCTCTGACCCAAGTTATCGGACATTTTCCCCATAGGGACAGATGAACTGGCCCTAAAAGTACAACCCCTGCTTTTTATTATACTTGTATTGGTGCAGAGGTGTTCTCATCCCTAAGTGCTCTGAGGGGATGGGAAAGATAGATGATGAAGTCTTAAGCCAGCTTTTCACGTACGGGTACTACCCAGCACCACCATGTATAAGACATTTAGGGTAGAGAGAGCACATAAAGCATTATTATTATTATTATTATTACTATTTCTATTACCGCTAACCAAGCAAACAATACACCCCAGGTACCATCTATGGACTGCTTATTAATTTCCAATTCTAACTACTTTACGAACCCCTCATCTCCCTCCTCCCCTGCAATGATGTTAGCTACTATTATTATTGTCATTTTACAAATGAAATCAAGAGTAGACCCAAAGAGGTTACATTACTTGGCCAAGTCCTGTAGTGATACGGGGAAAGGTACTGATTTAATAACCTCTACTTTGTGCTTACCTATTCCCGGCTAAGAGACTCTGGCTTAGCTGGGAATAGGTAAGAGAGACTCTGACACAGGATTTCTGGGGGTGATTGCCCCTTGAGAAGTGAAGTTTCCACCATAACAAATGCTTAAACCTCAACGTAGAATAAGCTTTACGTGTGGGGATTTTTAAAAAACATCTCATTAGAATCTGTTTTGTACAAACATATCTATTTAATATGTGTAAAGTATAAAGAGAATATTCATTATAATATAAAACATAGCCTACATTAGAGTTGGGAGTCTGGGACCGAGGTCAGGGAGGGTGGAGCAGGAGGCAGTGCTGGGTGAGAGGCACTGTTGAGAATGAGCTTCCTGGAGGGGCCAGCTTGGGAGGAAGTGGAAGGAACAGGAGGACTTAGTGTCGCAGGAGTCTGGGAAATGATGAACGGTCCAGGAAAGGAGGGGCAATCCCAAAGCAGAGCCAATGGATCATGGTGACACCATGGAGAGACTGGGTGCCGGACATGTCAGAGATGTGACTCATGTTCCAACTTGTGTGTCTGGAGGCTGTTGACAAAAGAGGAGGCTGACCTCCAAGAGGAGGGGACATAGCTGACTTAAAAATAAGGAGGTAGGTCAGCATTCTAGCAGCCATCTAAACAAGCATGTCCCAGAAGGGTGTGTGTTATTATTGATGGTGCCCAAGCTTGGTTTTGGTGGCCCTGTAATGAGCCCTTAAGAATTGAACAATTTTGCATGTGTTAGGGTTAGCATTTATTTATGGCAAGTTCTCTTTTCATATACTTGTGTTTCCCTTTAAAAAGATGTTTTTAAGTAAGAAAAAGGAGATTGATTTCAAGAAAAATGTTGTCTAAATTATACTGCATGTGTCCAAAGTCAGGAAGGCTGTGATGGGACGGTTAAGTTTGGAAGAGCCATTCTCCCCTGTGACAGCAGAATGTGCACCCCGCCTTGCTGATGACCCACTCAGAGCCCTTGTGTCCCACCTGTGTGTCTTGCAGACCCGGTGCACGGCCCGCAGAATGTGGAGATTGTGGACATCCGAGCCCGGCAGCTGACCCTGCAGTGGGAGCCCTTCGGCTATGCGGTGACGCGCTGCCACAGCTACAACCTCACGGTGCAGTACCAGTATGTGTTCAACCAGCAGCAGTACGAGGCTGAGGAGGTCATCCAGACGTCCTCTCACTACACCCTGCGGGGTCTGCGCCCCTTCATGACCATCCGGCTGCGCCTCCTGCTGTCCAACCCTGAGGGCCGGATGGAGAGCGAGGAGCTAGTGGTGCAGACAGAGGAGGACGGTGAGCAACGGATGGGGGCAGGGAATGGGGAGGCTGCACCTGCTTGGGGCTGTCATGCCAGTCAGTCATGAGGGTTTTATTTTTACTGCATCTTTAATCTCCACCACCACATTTTTTGTGTCTGACTCTTTTCCAAAGTCTTCGCTGAAGGACTATACAAGCTGTGCATTGCACACCTCCGGGGGCGCTGTGCTCATCACAGACATGCACTCAAGTTTGACCCTTCTGTACCACTCATCCCACTTCCCCCCTTTTATGCCTCCTTCTCTGCTCAAGGTTTAATAACACCAATGCTTCCCAAAAGAGAAAGTGGGTATTGCGTTGTTTGAACATGCTGAGTTTGGGAGTCACATAACTCTGGATTCTGTAAAAATTCTAAGAAAGAAAATACTTATGAAAAACTTAGCACACACATTGAATGCACCCACTACTGAATATTCACCTGGTTGTACTATAGACATCTCATATTCAAAGTGTTCAGAAATGAATTAATCTCTTATACAGGGTAGCCATGAGTTCATGTGCAATTTAAAATTTCCCATGGACTTCATGGCCACCCTATATAGTGACTTTCTCTCTGTGTTCCTCATTTCAATGAACTGCACTTGGTAACTCAAGATAGAGACCTGGAAGTCAGCCTAGGAGCTCCCATTTCTCCCTCCCCAGCCCACTCCACCTCCACATCTTACAGGTCCTAATGAGTCTGGCACATAACCTACCTGCCTCTCTGTCCTCATCCATGCCATTTCTCCTGCTGGGAATGAACATCCCTCCAAGTGTGCTGAACAAACTCTACTGATTTTTCAAGTCTTATTCAAATGGTACTTCTTCCAGGAAGCTTTCCTTGAGTGCCCCAGACTGAGTTGGGGCACCGAGGGTGCCCCTGAGGGTTCCTTCCCAGGGTCCCTGTGCACCTCGTGTGTAACTTTACCACGCCAGTCACATTATTAATGGGGTAGAATTTGCCCAGTTCCGGCACTTGTCTGAGAAACACTCCTCCATGGCTGCATCCCAGTATTCCCTACAGCCACACCACCTCTGGCCTTGGCGAGCATTTTTAGTTAGTTCCCAAGAACAAACTCTGAGATGAAAATCTGTGTGCAAAGTGATTGATCAAGAAGGTTTTCCCAGGGGAGCGTGAGAGGGGAGTTGGGAAAGCTGAACAGGAAAAGGGAAGGAAGCCAAGAACAACTTCTGGCCAAGTCCAGCAAAGGATGGCTGCAACCTGAGCCTGCAGGGGGCGCTGCAGGCTGGACCAGGTATCACAGATGGTCCAAGTCAGGGAAGGGAACTGGCAGCCACTGGTTAGGGGCAGAGATGAGGAATAGAGATTGGGAGGTACAATTACAGGGATGTTTGTCTCTCTGTTCAGGCAGGCAAAAAATGGAGTGTCACAAAAGTGGTAGAAAGGGATCCAAAAGGATGTAGCCATAGCACTGTCTTTGCCAGCTACGGGGTTAATGCCCTACTTGACTTAGATTGGCCTTCAAACCCAAGACCTAGCCTCCAACATGGTAGTCCTGTGTTGTTTCATGAAGCAAGTTCTAAGAACCACGGAGTTATGGCCCTGGGTAGGCCCTGGATCTACATCTCCCATTGCAAAACCTCATAAGGAAATAGGGGAAAGAGGGAAAGAGTGCCAGCCTCTTCGCACCCTGTTTCCCAATTTTTACTTCCTCCATATCCCGTTCTAGAAGCAGGAGTTTTACACCACCTACCTTCATGATAAATCCCTCCCAGGTCTCCTTCAAGTTCATCCCCGCAGTCACCTTGTTTGCAATACCCCCACCCCCTGCACCCCACACACTAGGCATTGGGTCATCTCTGGAGGTAGCAGCAGCAGTGAGGACCCAGCCTCTGACCCCTCAGCTCCTCCCCTTCCTGGCCTTGCAGTAAACCTCACCCTTCTGTAGGTACAGCCCCTACTGCCTCCAGCAAGCATCTTCTCTAGGGGAGCTGAATGGCTGACTTCCCTGAGAACGCCTCCCTACCCTGCCTCCAACAGAGAAGGTGGAAAGCTCACCTTGTCTTTGCCTTCTTTTTGAAGCCTGGAGCTATGGCCCAGGATTTGGCTTCTGCTAAAGCTAACAGAGCCTTCCCTAGATCTGACTCCATTGTTTCAAAAAGGTGCCAACCCTTCCTCCAGCAGGTAGAATGACATGCAGTTGGAGAAGGTGAAGACTCTGGGCCCAAGCACCCATGAGACAAGTTATTTAACCTCTTAGTGCTTTGGTGTCCTCACCTATAAATGGAGTTATTTATAGACCTACCTTACAGGTACTTGTGCACACTAAAAGGGATAATACATAAAGAAATTAGACTAGAAAAAAACTTACCCACAGAGTCAATTTTCAGTAGATGTGGCTGCTACGTGTTTACACTAAATCATAGAAGAAAAAGCAATAGAACCTCCATAGTTGACCAACTCCCTACATTGACCATCTCCTTAGGTTGACCTGATTTTCATAGACCAGACATGACCACGTGTACCTAACAGTACAGTGGGCCTAGTTCCTTATGTTGATCACCTCTGTATGTGGACCAGTTTGATACAGTCCCTGGGGCGGTCAACTCACAGAGGTTCGACTGTATTTCTTGACAAAAGAACATTGAGCATAAGCACCTCAGAAACAATTCAGCTTCCCTAGAAGACTTCTTCTGAACTCTAGGTATACACTTGAACTTGTGGAAAATACAATGTAGGCTCTCGAAAGGTAGCAGTGCCTGTTGTGAGAAGCAGAGAGAGAATCAAAAGGGTAGTTTAGTGACCAGTATTCACAGGGAATTCCTGCTTGTTAGGGAGGACCCACTTTTGAAAATCAGCATAGAAATTCAGGACTTGGAAGATCAACAATAGTGTTTGGCCAGGGAGCAGCTCAGGGCAGTGTTTTCAAAGATACTTTGAGGACTCCCCCCATGGGCACCAGCAAATCTCAAATTTCAGCCGTAAGGTGAGCCCTACCCTCTCTTCTCCTTTCTGTCACCAAGGAGGAAAAAAAAATCACAAAGCTTTTATCAAAACAATGTTAGAGCAGCAATGCTTTGAAATTAAAATTTAATTAAACATCATTAATAAAACACCAATTCCTCCTTTACCGAAATACGCAGATATTATCATTTTAAAGGCATGAACATGTACGACGCCCGTCCTGAGTTCTGAAGCTATTCTGAGGCTACACCACAGAAACCTTGGGACTGAAGGACAGTCTCAGCAGGGTGGGGACCCCTTACTATGGCAGGATTAGCTTCCCTTCTCTCTCCAGAGGGAGAGGGCCCCATTTCTGTTTGCTGGGGGACTCATTCCCCTCAAGGACAAGTTGAGGATACAGCATGGCTCTCTCTAGTCGATTAACTGAAACTCCCCTTGGGGAGCCAGAAAGCAACCTTTAGGATTGAGCCGTCGAGATGCCTGCTGCTTCCATCCGTGCTACAAAATTGCCTTCTGGGGAATTTGCAGAATTTGTAATTTCAGCACCCCAGGGCCTCTGAGGGCCTGCAGAGTAATCCGCCACAGGAGAGAGAACCTCATGGCCATGGAGCCTGGTGGCTTCATCTTGGAAGCAGCTGTTGATAAGAGACATATTCTCTACTTTTTCCTTTTCCACAAATGTCTCAGACAAAATCACAGCTCATTTCCTCAGGGGTTACTTTCCCACCTTTACCCAGAGCACAGGCACAACTATGAAAGGGAACCTCTGAGGCCTCCGAAGGTGAAAGCCGTGTTGATGGCAGGCTCGTGCTGGCTGTGGGAGCACCTGCTCCGTTCTGGGCACATATATGATAGATATGTATAGATGTGAAAAAAGAAATGGAGCCAAGTGTTAATAACTGTTCAAGGTCGGGAAAGGGCTTATAGGTCTCTTTGTACTATTCTTTTGATTTTTCCTATAGATTTGAAACATTTCATAAAATCTTGGGCAAAGATTTGGCAAAGGAATGTGTAAGTCGCAGTACGCAAGGTGCTCATGGGCGCCCAGAAGATGTTTAACATTAATCTGAAAATAACCTAACACAAAGTGCATGCTCACCTTTCTTTTTTTTTTTTGAAGTTTATTAAATTTATTTTTTTCTTTGTTTTTAATTAAATCGTAGCTGTGTACATTTATGCCTTTAAACCCCATTCTATGTGGCAAAAACTAGAATGCAAGATAATTTGGGCAGGGATATGATGACGTGAGTGGGGACGTGTATCCCTCCCTCTATCTTGGCGAGAGACACGTAATAACAGGGTGCCTCCCTATTGGGGGTTCTGTGTCTGATCACCAAGGTGGGATGAGGACCACCTTCGCCCTTTTCCTCTTCTAAAGGATCTGTGCAGTACCACTTTGAGATGGTATCAGAATCTTATTCCCCCAAACCGTTCACTTGATGGTTTGAGCACACCTTAAGGATGCTTAGCTGAATCAACTATTGCACTGGTGCTTACAAAGGGATGATTTTTAAATCTATCCTTCCTCCTGCATGTATTAATTAGCATTCTTCTTTATAGAAGAGCTTTTCTTTGCTCATCTTCCCCCTCATTTTTAGTGTCCCTAATGATTCATAGATTTTGACTCAGTGCATTAAAATCCGCTACTGTCATTACTCTTTCTGATGCTCAAATTGTCTCGACCATGGCTGGAAGGAATCCCTGGAAGCTGGTTCCTGGGTCATTCTGACATGTCCTCATCAGTCTTCCATGCTTCGAACACAGCTGCACAGTCTGGACTATCCTTGTAATGCCCGTGCCCCAGAGCTGAAATCAACTACTTATCTAAGGATTTCTAGTTTCCTTCGGCGTGGAGGGGTATCTTGGCACTGAGACGCGTGTCTGAGGTGTGTTCAGTGATGCCTTCTTGCCTCTAGGAGCTTCAAGTGTGTAGAACGAGGGAATGTAGTTTATCTGTTTTTAAATCAAGAGCTCATACTGATTCAAATCCAACACCTCAGGATTCTTCTGCACATTCTATACCCATATCTCCCGTCTCCCACAGTGAGAATTCTGATTCTCAGCAGCCACG